CTGTATATATATAAAATCTGGATCTTTGTTGACTAGGTCCTATATCTATCAGTTCCTTTCAATATTTTTCTGACCTTTCTAATATTTACTTTTATTCTCTTGGTAATTCTTATTTCTCTTCTCAATGTCTTTTATTATATTTTCAGTTGAACATATTGTTGCTCTGGGCATCCTGAAATTGAGTCTTCAGTTGAGATAATTTTATCTTCAATTTTTTTTCCTGAGTTTGGAAAATTCTATTTTCATATCTTCTATGAGATGTCCATTGTGTATTTCTAGCTTGACTTTTAAAATTTATGATCCAAGGTATTTTTTCATGTTTGTCAATACTTGTTTAATTCAACTTGAGTTGTTGTACAATAGTTTTCTTCTGGTTAGTCACTGATTTTGGCAGTAGGATTTTTAGTAGTTAAAATGGTTTTACCCTCATCTTCTAGTTTGTTTTTGTTTTTTGTTTTGGTCATATAGAAACTTTGTATAGATGTTGACTGCTGTTTATTAATCATCTGAAATATCTTATATTTTCCTGGACCAGCAAAAACAGGAGATTCTATTTTGTCAGGGATCTTGAGTCATGACTATTTCTGTTGGCACAGTGAAATGTAGTTTCCTTAGTAGATGAGCCTGTTTGGGATGGAGTGGGAGGATTGGTATGTCTTTTGATTTTGTGATTCTCTTTTGTTCCTTTATAAATTACTAACCCTTACTTCCTTCTTTTCCTTCAGGATCATGTGTCCCTTCCCCCCAAAGGTAGTTATCTTCCCAAGGCTGCTATCTATCACTAGTTCCTTACACTTTCAATTCATGCTCTTTCTTCTGATTCCTCAGCAGCCAATGCTCTAATCCAATAGGTTTTAGCTCTGTTCTCAATATTTCCCACTCTGAATAGGATTGTTTTTCTGGGGGGTCATTCTGGCTGTGTAAACCCCACTGTCCTCTCTTTTTATGCACTTTCCACCTACATAAAATTCTTCATTTTGGTATGGGTCTGTTACTGGCTGTACTGGTTTCAGATCTTTTTATCTGAATATGTAGACTAACATGTAATAGAAATTTGTGGTATTCTTGACTCCTAGTTATGTTTAGACATGAGTTATGGGTGGTATAATTTACTTTCCTTTTTTTTTCTATCCTCACCTGAGGACATTTTTGCATTCATCTTTAGATAGAGTGGGAGGGAGACAGGGAGGAAGAGAGAGAGAGAGAAACATCGATGTGAGAGAGACACATCGACTGGTTGCCACCCACACAACCCCAACTGGGGCCGGGGACAAACCACAACCGAGGCATATGCCCTGAGCAGGAACCGAACCTGGGTTTCTCTGGTCTGCGGGCCGATGCTCTAACCACTAAGCCAAACAGGCCAGGGCTGATTTACTCTACTTTGAGAATTTATGGAAATATTTTGATTTATATGGTCATCATTACCTTGGGACTTTATGTTTTTAATAGCTTCTCAAGATACTTCAAAACAATGATTCATAAAATAGGTTGATAATAATCCTGTACCATGCAGCTATATTCCATGAGGAATATCTCCAAACTACTAAGAAGTCATTTTAGGACATATTGTTAAATGAAAGAAGCAAGGTTGAGAAAAATATGTATAGTATGCTGTCATTTAGATAATAAAGTAGAGGTTACATATCTATATATGTACACATTCATACATACAAGGATTAATTTGTTTATATTTTTTAAATGGAGTATAGACTATAAAAGTAAAAGAAAGTGGTTTATCTATGCAGAGGAAAGGAATAGGATGATGGAGATTTCTCTGAATATACTTTGTTTTATAGATCTGACTTTAAGAACAATGCATATCATTTAGGTATTTATAAAGCAAAATTTAAAAAGAAGCAATCTTTAAAAATCAAAAATTAGCCCTGGTTTGGTCCAGCAGTTAGAGCATCAGCCCATGGACACATGAGTCTCGAGTTCAATTCCGGTCAGTGGTGCATACCTCAGTTACGGTTCATCCCAGGCCCTGGTCGGGTCATGTAGGAGGCAACCAACCAGTCCATGGTCTCTCTGGCATCAATGTTTCTCGTCTCTCTCTCTCTCCCTCCCTTCCACTCTTCCTGATGATAAATAGAAAAATATCCTAGGGTGAGGAATAAAAAAAAAAATTAAATGAAACAAGTGAATCTAAGTTTACATCAAATTGGCAACATGGCCATCCAGAGAGAAACTAATGCAAATGACCTTATAACAGTATTATTAGACTGCCCCAGAGGGTAAGACAAATAATTGCAACTAACTTCAACATTGTTTAGGTCTCATAATGATGGCAGTACTGGTATTGTTATCCTGAAACTGTTGTATGTATATTGTAGGATAAAACAAATGAGTTATTTTAGTGACATGGAAAACTAGCATTTTGTGGTGGTACAAAGGAAATACTGATTTAAGAGACTAAAGATGAAATCAGTACAAACATCACTGTTCTGAATTTTAGTAGAAAGTATCAACATAAACTAACAATTTTTTATATTAATAAAAAAAAGGATGCTCCTACCTCTCTGTACCAAAAAGACCTAGAAAGAATGACCAACCCAGTAGCACTGAGCACTGTAGTGCTCAGATTATGGCCTCTAAATACCACCTCCCACTAAAAGGAGCCTAGGCACCTAAAATAAATAGCTGATTCCTTATTTGGGCCAAGAAATATACAAAATGAGCAAGGAACATTTTGAAATTCCAAAAATCCAAGAGAGCTATCAAATAATATAAAGTCAGGAGACAACTTGAGGCACCTATGAAACCAAAGATGTGACAATTCAAGAATCAATAAAAGCAATTAGTGCAATGAAGTGAAACATATCAAATATATATGAATCCTTGAGTTTATAATACTAAACAGCAACAACAAAACCTTCCTTAAATATTTTTGGAGAATGTTAGTAAAGCAATTCATTATTTTGAAAATTGGTAAAGAAAGAAAATAATCAAGCCCTGGCCGGTTTGGCTCGGTGGTTGGAGCATCGGCCTGTGGTCCAGAGAGACCCGGGTTCGGTTCCCACTAAGGGCATGTACCTCGGTTGCAGTTTGTCTCCGGCCCTGGTTGGGTCGTGTGGGTGGCAGCCCACCCTTTCACATCGATGTTTCTCTCTCTCTCTCCCACTCTATCTGAACAAAATATCAAAAAATGTCCTCGGGTGAGGATTAAAAAAAAGAAAAGAATCAAGCATTTAAACCATCTTTCTTACATGAATTATGCCTAAAAATAACCAAATAGCTGATGAAAGTTTATTTTAATAGGTGTATTACACTTAACTTACATCGATGGGATAAGATTAAAATTTCCCATTTTGCAAGCATGGTGAATTGACAAATTTAATCAGAGGTCAGAAAACTATAACCAGTAGGCTGGCCACATCACCTGTTTTGTAAAGTGTTACTGGAATATAGCCTTGCCCGTTTGTTTATATATTATCTATGGCTGCTTTCAAATTACAAAGTTGAATAGCAATAGAGAATCTAAGGCCCATAAGCCTTTAATATTCACTATATAACAAACAGTAATGACTGCTACATTATCAAAATGAGAAAAAATCAGACCATATATGCTTCCTAATAGAAGTTAGCATAACCATCTACGAAATATTCTTAGGAAAAAACTGAACCTGAACATGATAAAGCCTCTACATCTAGCTACCAATTTTTAGGAAAGAGGATAGAGAAACATATTAAATAATACTATAGAGATACAATCAGCAAATATAATTATGCAAAACTTTGAAGACAAGTGACTTAGATTTTCAACAAATAAATTGTCAGAAAAAAATTAAGAGAGAAGGAGAATCCAAAGATAAAAAGAGGCTTAAGGGACATATCAATCAACTGCAATATGTGGATCTTATTTGAATCCTGATTCAAAAAAACTGTAATAAGAGAGAGAGACAGAGAGGGAGGGAGGAAGGGAGAGAGGAGAGAAGGGACAATTTAAACATTGAGTTAAAATGTGTTGATATTAAAAATTATTAGTTTATTTACATGTGATGTTATTATAATTGTGTTTAAAATTACTGACTATGAGAGATACATATTAAATATTTAATGACAAAATGATACTATGGGCAATTGGGCAGAAGAGAGGACGGAGTGTGTAAAGATACAGATAAAACAAGATTGCTTCTGTATTGATAATTATCAAAGATATAGGATACATGGACATTCACAATGATATTCTTTCCTCTACCTTAGAATATATTTGAAATTTTACATTACAAATAATTTTTGTTAATAGGGGAAAATGCTAAATAACCATCTGGGGAGCACTTTCAAACAACACATGTTCTCTAATGCTCAATTAACCTAGCACAACCTCCTGATGGAAACATAGCCCTTATATAGCTAATAACCCATCTTCCTCTAACCTCCATTGAAACTCACTGCAATAATAATTCACAGTAACTGAAGAGATGGGCTAAATTTCTCAGGTATATTAAGGCAAAAGAAAAAAAAGGTGAATTTGATCTTGAAGAGAAAAACCTAGTGAGGTTATTAGTTTAAATAAAATAATGTATTTTACTGAATAATTAATTCACAGTGAGAAAATTCCCAGGACCAAGTGAGAATTTAGGGGGAAGGAGTTAAGGGGACCCTTATAATAGTCATCCTCTTCACTGGGAGATTTTCCGCTCACATCTGGTTATTATTGTAGGATTTGTTAAAAGCTCTATGGTTTATTGAGGTAGATTAAGTGGCAAGACCTCCTTCCATTCTGTCTATCAGGGTAAATGGGAACTGACAAAGAAGGATGAGGGGTGTGGTTTTTTGACAGAAAAAGAAGTTTGGGAGCTGCTTGAATATCATAAGTTAATGTAGAAATGGAGATGTCAAGATTTTACAGCTTATTTTATTTTGGGTGGGCCTTTTCCTTTGGACCATATGAAAAAGAAAAGATAGGCAGGGGACCCTAGCCTTTCTCATAATGGGATGTACAATTTTGGGAAGATAATTAATTGGTTAAAGAGGACTTGGGTCTAGTTACTCACCCAGAGGGGGCTGCAGCATACCCCCATTCTTTTCACAGTTTCCAATAGGTTGGATTTCAGCTGAGTCAACCAGCCGCCAGAAGTCATTCTTGTTGTCGCTGCCATCAAGGCGAAGGCGGAGGCGAGCACCTGTTAGTCCAACTACTGTGGCGATACAGGTGGATGTGGTGTTCCTGGGATCCTGTGCCTCCAATTTCATACTGATCTTGAATTCGTTGCTTGGAGGTGTGTAGGACTGAGGAGAACAAGCCATGGGGATTAGGCAAACTAAAGTAAGTGGCAATTTTAGTCAGGATGTTAAGAGATGGAACCAGAAAATTTATGCTTTGGATTCAAAGTGGGCCAAGGACAACCCATCATGAATTATTCCCCAATACTTGGGAAGAGTTACATGCAAAAGAAACACTGGAAGGTAAGAAGGGGAAAACCATTACTTTCCACTGAAGTATCAAATATTGACTCACGCTAGTAAGAAAAAAACAAGAGTGTCTCAAATGGTCCTTACTTTCTCATCCTATCTTCTCCAACTCCCTGATCCTCTAGATATTCATGCTTTTTAAAGAAATCATCCTGTTTACCTATTATATCCTACATGTCTTTTCATAAAGCATTTCAATATATTGCTTTGTAAATCCAGCACACAGACTAAGTATTGGGGGTCAACTTTTTCTTATTTTGACATTAACTTATAAATCAATTCATATGTTTTAAAACAACTTTAAGTTATAATTGATATAAAATATACACTTTGGCAAATCTTGACATATGTATATACCCATGATACTACATACATCATATACAGCCTTGAAACCATCACCACAATCAAGATGATGAACATGGACATGTTCTCTCATGTCCCTTTAAAATCTCTCTGGTCTAGCCCTTCTCAAACCTCTGTTTCCAGGCAAACACTGATCTACTTTCTATCACTGTAGATTGGGTTACGTTTTCTAGTCTTAAACGGAATCATAAATATACTCTTTTTTTGTTTGTTTGTTTTTTTATCTAGCTTCTTCCACTCAGCATAACTATTCTAATGGTCATCCATATTGTTAAATGTACTGATAATTCATTTCTTTTGTTTCTTTAAAGACTTTTTATTTTTTAGAGCAGCTTTAGGTACACTGCAAAATTGAGAGGAAGATACAGAGATTTCCCATATATACCCTGCCCCCTTGTGTGAATAGTCTCTTATTATCAGCATTCCCCACCACAGTGGTACATTTGTTACAATTGATGAACCTACACTGATACATCATAATCTCTCAAAGTCCACAGTTTACTCTTGGTGTTGTATACTGGGTTTGGACAAATGTATGTCATATGTCTATCATTATGGTACCATAAAGCATAGTATCACTAACCTAAAAATCTTCTGTGATCTGCCTATTCATCCCTCCCCTACTCAACCACTGGCAACTACTGATCTTTTTACTGTTTCCATAATCTTTCCTTTTCTAGAATGTTATATGGTTGAAATCATATAGAATGTAGCCTTTTCAGATAGGTTTCTTTTCTTTTGTAATATGCATTTAAGCTTACTCTATGTGTTTTCATGGCTTGATAGCTAATTTCCTTTAAGGGCTGAAAATAATCCTTTGTCTGGCTACACCACAGTTTATTCATCTACTGAAGGGCATCTTGGCTGATTCCAAGTTTTGGCAATTATGAATAAAGCTGCAATAAACATCCATGTGCAGATTTTTGTGTGGTCACAAGTTTTCAGTTCCTTTGGGTAAACACCAAGGAATGTAATTGCTGTATTATATGGTAAGAGTATATTTAGTTCTGTAAGAAATCACCAACCTGTCTTAGAAAATGGCTGTAACCTTTTGCATTCCCATAAACAATGAGTGAGAATTACTGGTGCTCTATATCCTTGCAAGCATTTGCTGGTGTCAGTGTTCTGGATTTTCACCATTCTAAATAGAGATGTAGTGGTATTTTTTCATGTATTATTTTTATCATCTGCATATCTTTTTTGGGGGGGTGAGGTGTCTAAGAACTTTGGCTCATTTTTAAATTAAGTTGTTGATTTTCTTATTGTTGAGTTTTAAGTGTTCTTTGTATATTTTGTATAACAGTCCTTTGGCAGATGTGTTTTTTGTACATATTTTCTCCCAGTCTGTGGTTTGTCTTCTTATCTCTCGACAGCATTTTTCACAGAGCAGAAGCTTTTCATTTTAATGACGTCCAGTTTATCAATTATTTCTTTAATGGATCATGCCTTTGGTGGTGTATCTAAACAGTCATCACCAGCCCTGGCTAGTTTGCTCAGTGGTTAGAGCGTCGACCCTTGGAACAAAGGGTCACGGGTTTGATTACAGTCTAGGGCATGTACCTTGGTTCCAGTTCGATTCCCAGCCCTGGCTGGAGTTGTGAGGGGGACAACCAATCGATGTGTCTCTCTCACACTGATGTTTCTCTCTCTTTCCCTCCCTTCCACTCTATCTGAAAATCAATGGAAAAGTGTTCTTGGGTGAGAGTTTAAAAAATAAAAAATAATAAGTCATCATCATATCCAAGGTCATCTTGTTTTTCTCTTATGTTATTTTCTAGGAGTTTCATACTTTTAAATTTTACATTTAGGTCTGTGGTCTATTTTGAATTAATTTTTGTGAAGGGAGTAAGGTCAGTGTGTAGATTATTTTTTGTTTGTAGTTGTTTAGTTGTTTCAGCACCATTTTTTAGAAAGACTATCTTTGTTCTATTGTATTGCCTTTGCTCCTTTTTCAAAGATCAGTTGACTATATTTATGTGGGACTATTTTGGGGCTCTCTGTTCTGTTCCATTGATCTATTTATCTATTCTCTTTCCAATACCATAGTTTTTATTACTGTAGCTACAGTCTTGAATTTGGGTAGTGTCAGTCTTCAAACTTTGTTCTTCTTCAATATTGTGTTGGCTATTCTAGATCTTTTGCCATTCCATATAAACTTTAGAATCAGTTTGCCAGTATTCACAAAGTAACTTGGTGAAATTTTTATTAAACTTGCATTGAATCTATAGATCAAGTTGGGAAGAACCATTTTTTTTTTTTCCTTTATTGATTTCAGAGAGAGAGAGGAAGTGAGAGGGAGAGAGAGATAGAAACATCAGTGAGAAAGAACATCAACTGGCTGCCTCCTGCATGCTCCTCACTAGGGATTGGGCCCACAGCCTGGGCATGTGTTCTGACCAGGAATCAAATCGGCGACCTCTTGGTGCATGGGTCGACGCTGAACCACTGAGCCATACCAGCCGGTCTTGAACAATATATTTTTTTATCCTCACCCAGGACATTTTTCCATTTTTTGTTCAGGTAGAGTGGGAGGGAGAGAGAGGAACAGAGAGAGAGAGAGAAACATCGATGTGAAAGAAACACATCGAGTGGCTGCCATCCGCACAACCGACCAGGGCCAGGGACAAACTGCAACCGAGGTACGCGCCCTTAGCGGGAACCGAACCCGGGTCTCTCAGGACCGCAGGCCGACGCTCTAACCGCTGAACCAAACCGGCCAGGGCTTGAACAATATTGAGTATTCCTTTCCTTGATTATGAACAATCTCTATTTTTAAGTTCTTTTTAAAAAATATGTTTTTATTGACTTTTTAGAGAGAGAGGAAGGGAGAGAGAGATAGAAACATTGATGTGAGAGAGAAATATTCTCCTGCACATCCCCTACTGGGGATGGAGCCCACAACCCGGGCATGAATCCTGACTGGGAATCGACAGGACTTCTCAGTCCATGGGAGGATGCTCAATCCACTGAGCCACACCAACAGGGCTTAAGTTCTTTTTTGATTTCGTTCATCAACATTTTAAAGTTTTCCTCAGATACACTTTATACATATTTTGTTAGATTTATACCTCATTTCTGGAGGTGCTCATATAAATGGTATTGTTTTTAATTCCAAATTCCACTTTTTAATTGCTGGAGTATAGAAAAGAGATAGACTCTTATAGATTAACCTTGTGTTTTGCAACCTTGCTATTAATTGCTCATTAGTTCTAGGAATTTTTTTTTGTCAATTTTAGATTTTCTACATAAACAATCTAGTCATCTGTGAACTAAGAGAGTTTTATTTCTTCCATCCCAATCTGTATACCTTTTATTTCCTTTTCTTATTTTATTGCAATAGCTACAACTTATAGTATGATGTTGAAAAGGAATGGTGAGAGGGACATCCTTGCTTTCTTTTCTCTGTTAGTGGGAAAGCTAGTTTCTAACCATTAAGTGTGATACTGACTAGAGGTTTTAAAAAAATAGTAATATTCAGCATAACTATTATGATATTCATCCATTTTTCCCCTTTATTGATTTTAGAGAGAGAGGAAGTGAGAGGGAGAGAGAGATAGAAACATCAGTGAGAGAGAACATCAATTGGCTGCCTCCTGCATGCTCCCCACTGGGGATCTGGCCCACAACCTGGACATGTGTCCTGACTGGGAATCGAACCAGCAACCTCTTGGTGCATGGGTCAATGCTCAACCACTGAGCTACACCGGCCGGACTCATCCATATTGTTGAATGCATCAACAATCCACTTCTTTTCATTCCTGAGTAGTATGTCATTTTGATGGACATTTGGTGTGTTTTGAGTTTTTCACTATTACAAACAAATCTTTTATGAACATCCATATATGGAAATGTACTTTCTATATTTCCATACATATTTCAGAAATATATTAAAGTGGAGTCTGGCTGACGTGTCTCAGTGGTTGAGCATCAACCCATGCACCAAGAGGTCGTCAATTCAATTCCTGGTCAGGACACATGCCTAGGTTGTGGGCCCAATCCCCAGTGGGGGCCACGCAGGAGGCAGCCAACCAATGTTCTCTCTCATTGATGTTTCTCTCTCTCTCTCTCTAAAATCAATGAAGGGGAAAAAAAGAAATATATTAAAGTGGAATGGATGAACCCAGTAGTGTGGCTCAGTGGATTGAGTGTAGCCCCATAGAATGAGAGGTCCTTGTTTGATTCCAGGTCAGGGCATGTGCCTGGTTGCAAGCTTGCCCAGTAGGGGGCATGCAGGAGACAGCCAATCCATGTTTCTCTTTTACATGGATGTTTCTATCTCGTTCTCTCTTCCTCCCTCTCTCTAAAAAAAAACAAAAAACATTTTTTTAAAAAGTGGAATGGATGAATCATGATAGGTATGTGTTTAACTCACATACCAGAAACTTTACCTTTTTATAGTATATAATTCAGTGGTTTTTAGTATATAGAGGCAAACATCACTCTACCTAAATTTA